TCTGTTAACTACTAAGAAACTCCTCCTGCAAAGGGGTAAGAGTCTGTGCATGGAAAATAATTCTAATTCCTATTTTAGAACCAGAATTAAAACAAATTCTTAGCTCAGGATTTAAAAAGTCATTTTTATCTTTAAACAGTTGTATGAAGCTTTCTAATTAAATGTCAATTTATGTGTATATAATGATCAGTGTCACCCCCTCCTATTGTTCTCCCACCTCTATGCCAACTCCATCTGTCCCTTCAAGTTCATTTGAAGGGAACTACATAGTGCTGAGAAAAATTCATATTGAGTGAAGATCCCCAAATATAAATGTATATGACAATACACGGAGTGTTGCATGCATATACAATCAAACAGACCAAAGTATGGTATACACAGGGCTGAATTTCCATGGTGAAACCCCTGTGAAAAATTTATTAACAGTTTAACCAATGAATAGCAGGAAGAGGAAATACATCTTTTCTGAATGAAGTGGAGACTACAGGGAGGGTGTGGACAAATGGAGAGAAATGGTGGGCAAATAGTTATAATGGTCAGGGTGCATATGTGAAAACAAAACCAGTATTGACATCATAACAATTCTCTACTTTTCCTCTTGCTGGCCATACTTTGAAAAAAATGGAGGAGCATCTGACAAACCATCCCTTGGTCACATGACTATAAAGGACAGAGATATTGGGAAAGTAAATTGGCCTTTTACAATGTGGATAAAGGACGAGTTGCTTATTGTGTAGCGGGGGAGAGACCAGTATATAAAAAGGTGGTATGGGAGTTAGAAGAATATGGTCATAAAATTCAGTGTATAACCTATAAAATTAAGACAATTAAAGGGAGGGTGAGGGTTAGGAGACATGGGGATGATAAAAGAGGTGACATAGATTAAGATATGAACAATTTGTACAATAGTAAAAAATACTTTAAAATAGAGGTGGTATAGTTTCCTTAGGATGATGCAACTCTAATGTACTGTGATATCTGTAATGGTTATAGGTTTACCTGTTAAATTTCACATAAGTATACAACAAAAAGTTAACTTATGGTATGATCAGAAGAAATGAGAACTACATTAGTCACCTCCAGATCCTTGGTCACTTTCAAATATGTATTTATACATCCTAATCAAATTACTTGCCTCGTTTTCCCCTACTGCTTTATACAAGGTGAGTTAATGTTAACATTCCATTACAATTACATTTACATTATAGGATATCAAGATGGGACTGAAACTGAATTGAGTGGGCTGAACATCAAGCCATGGATGGATTTAAGTAACTGACAGAAACTTGGATCTTCCCTTAGGAGAGATGAGTGTACTTGTGTTTGATTGAGGGAATGTGTTAGGATAGGCAGGAGCAAGCTGCTGTTATGACTAGCTGTCATTTAGAAGCATGAGAAGGGTGTGCTGTCTGGTGAAAGTGGTGATTAAGTTATTAACACAGATTGGTGCTTGTGATGCAGACTCTAAGACTCTGAAGATACCCCTACCCATGATCTCACATTCATGTCTTTCAGTAATCCTTTCCCCTTGAGTGTGGGCAGGACCTGAAACTTTTTTTTAAAAAAATGTCTTTTTAATCTTTAAGTAGTTGTACAAAGGGGTTTCAACTCAACCAATCAATTTATAAGTGCAATGCATCTTGATCAATGCCACCCTGTAACTTTAACAGCACATGGCAAATGGAGGAAACCACTACTACAATTATATCAGATAAGGCACTCTTGCTGGCAAACTAACCCAAAAGACTCTTCTTGCTTGCTTGATTAAGTGGACATTTTGGAGAAGCCCACAGGGCAAAGCAATATAGACAGCTTGCAGAGGCTGAGGGCAGCTGTTAGGAACTGAGGGAAGTCTTTAAGAGCTGAGAGCACCCTCTAGTTAACTACCAGAAAGCTGTATCTCCAGACCTAACACTGTATGGAAATTAATATTTCTATAGCTTGAGTGAGCTTGGAAGTGGAATCTTCCCCAGTTGCGTCTCTACCTGAGAAACAGAGTGGCTGACAACCTGGATATGGCATTGTATAATCCTAATCAGAGGACCTAACTGAGCCCATAGTTATGACTCACAGAAATGGTGAGATAATATGTTGTGCTCTTTGTACAGTAATAAAGTACAACTCTTAATGTGCTCTCCTGTACTTCAGACTAAAAGCAGACTTCCCAACTTCCCTTGCAAATATAATTTTGCATTTATTATAGGCCAATCAAATGATATGTGAGATGTGATTGTCAGAAGTGAAGGAGAGGCTATGCTTCTACCACCTCTACGAGTAAACACAGTTGTGGGGATGTGTGGCTGTCCTATTACAATTTTGTCATTAACTTGTGGGTGCTGAGGGGCAGAGGCATGGCATCTATTTTGCTGCTGTAAATCATAGTGAATGGAGTATGGTTCTAGAAGCAGTGGAGGCAGTGATAGGAAGTAGCAGTTTCTTCACCATAGAACAGTTAGGAATTCCCCTGGTGGCCTACGAGCACATGGATGGCTCTTGAAAGCTTGATTTAGCTAGTCCCTGTCATAATTATTTAAGCCACTTAATATCCAGTAATCAATATTTTCTTGCCTAAGCAAATTAGGAGTGATTCCTGTTCTTTGCAACTGAATTCTGAATTGATACAAGTGATATCTAAGTGCAAATACACCACAGAAAATAATATGAATTAATAATGAATCTTTTAAAGTAAACAATTTTCATGTTCAATATTTATAACATTTATTTTTATAAAGACAAATGAATTACCTTATATCATTTAACATAAAAGGTATAATGAACTGGATCAATGTGAAACAATAACATAAAATTTTAAATATTAAGAAGGTATTTGCTTAACAAGGCAGCAGCTATAAAACTATAATGTATTAGCTTATTTCTCCTGCAGATTCAGAAAATGTCTTAACTTCCATTTATAATCTTTCGGCAATTCAGAAAGCTCTTAGCATTCAATCTTAATTATTCTAAGCTAAAATTACAATGTTCAATAATCTTCACTGTATTGACTTTAAAATAATACCAAATATTAATAACATACACTCTTAGAAAGGATTTATTGTAAATACAAATGACAAAATGTTCAATGAAGTGTGTATAATAGTGCCTGTATATATAGGATAAAGCATATCTTTCAAGTGGTATTTTAATTCAATTTAACCATTGCATAACAGCAGATGTGAAATGTTTTCATATAAACTATTACCAATTTTAACATTTGGACATACTTCAATTGTTCTAGTAAAGGCATAGATGGTTATTTACCAGCTATCTCTAAGTGGTAACTTCCTTGAAAAGACAATGTGACTGAATCATCTTAAAGTCACTACCAATAAATGTTTGGCCACACCCCACAGATGAATTTTCAAAGGCTCAACTTGAAAATTCTTTAACTTCTCTGAAAGTAACATGTTCTATGGCAATGAAGTCCTCTATGTTGTTTTGTTCACAGTAGATTCTTGCTAAAGGCTGATGCAACAACTCCTTAGACAGAGAAATCATGTGTAACTATAAAGAAGGTCTGCCTGCCCCATCTGGACAAGTCAATGGGCTTAAAACCCATCTTTTTTTTTGTAAATGGCGAAAAAATTTAATCTCATCTATAGTCCTCCTTAGGAAAATCTTTTTTGAAAATAAAGAAGTGCCAATGTATTATTTCTCCCTATTTTCTAAGTCAACTGCTTAAACAATTGATTTAGTCAGAAATAGAGCAGAAGAGTAAAGTGTAGTTTACTTTTTTTCATTTTAAAAAATAAAGTGCTAACAAAGCCCATTATATCTCCAAATGGACTTTCATGTAATGATTGAAATGAAAGCAGCATAAGGTATATAGAAGTTATCCATCCATTTAATCAGTCAAAAGCTTTTCAGCTAGTTGTTTTAAGCTATATATTATCTTGGCAAGTATCACATGTTAAGTACAGCTTATGTACTTGCCAGACTAATACGAAAAATTTGGTCATTTTGCATATACCTTACTATCTATTGTAAATGAGAATTTGATAAAAATCCAAAGTCTAAAGCTAGGACCAAAGCAGTCACAAGCTACTTGAGACAAATGCAACAAACAGTAGTGCTCTGAAGGATTTCTAGTTGTCAGTCTAATGAGACTCCTGTACAGTTAGCTTAACCATTTTCAAATAGCTTAAATCTGAATCCAATGTTGTTTCTCTTTTTTTTTTTCTTGGTCATGGGGTTTTAACTCTGGGCCTGAGCATTGTCCCTCAGCTTGTCAGCTCAAGGCTAGCACTCTACCACTTGAGCCATAGCTCCACTTCTGGCCTAGGGCCTCATGCATGCAAAGCAAGCACTCTATCACTGAGCCACCTTCCCAGCCCCCAATGTTGTTTTCCTTTACAAAGTAGCCCAGAGTTTAGAATTATTGATTTGTTTGATGTAACAGAGTTAGGAACAACTATAAGCGAATAGCTTTTCAATCCTTCAGGTTCATAGAATGCACAAGTTCCCTTACTACACCAAATGAAGTTAACTTTAATGTGTTACTAGTACTTTATTTAGCTAACATGAAAAGGAAGGTCCCAAATGGTAATAAGCTTGTAGACAATTCTGAGTATAGATCTAAGGGTCCTTTTTTTAATGTATTTTAGTAGGATTGAAGTAATCTGACATATGACATGATATGACATGTCAGTACTATTTACTAATAAATACAGAGTCACCTTTTCAAAATCTTTAGTAATTTGTGTCAAAAATAGCACTAGGCAGTAATTTCCTTAATAAAATGGTATAGTGGTGCCCTCTGGTGGTCTCACTGAGCATACTCCTCTTATGCTACATATTTTGTGGCATAGGAAAAAACCCTGTATTTGAGAATATAAAAAATTGAGATCATAAAGGAATGGATCATTGTGCTTCTGTAACTTTGTCTCATTTTGCCTTCAAATGTACTGGTTAATAAGATAACTCCCTGAGTCTTACTCCCAGGAATCAAGCTGACAGCTACAAGAATCCAGGGAAAACTATCTAAGATGGACAATTCCTTCCAACTAAGAGATGTGAACCTTGGTTCTAGATTTTAACTGAGAGATTTTTGCATTTTCTAACTTGGCTTTTAAATCTATGTGTTTCTCAAAAAACCTCACCAAGACTGGTTCATTCAACAGAGATGCAAGAATCTGTTCAAATGAAAATGACCACTGATGATCCTCCTTTCGAGAGGCAGCCTTTCTCTCCAGAAAACTCTCTGTATTCTCCACACTGGTTCCTTCAGCAGCACTGATTGCAGCAGAGATTTCTTGGGCAGATGATGAAGGGCTATTTAGTTTCCTTCCAAGTTCTTCCATCCTGAGCAAAAGGCTGGTTACAACAGCAATGGCTTGATATAATGACTCTTCTTCAGTGTCCTCGTGAAATAAGTTGTAGAGGGTCTTTGAAAACTGAATAAACTGTGACTAGAAGACATACAATAGAAATAGAACATTTTCAACTTAGCAAAACAGAGACCTTAGAAGAGGGTACTGGTCCTATAGAAATTTGTAGCATGTAATCTTCACCCCAGAAGTATAGATTAATTCCAGAGTAAAATTTGCTAAGAATATGCATAGGAAACATAGAAGAACATTCATTCCAGCCCTTGTGCTTGTTGCCTAATAGCAGCCCATTATATACAGACTGATTCCCAGTTACTCTGCCTACCAGCATTACTTCAGTGTATTTTTATTAAGCCACCTTTTATATTTCTCTACATATAAATAATTTATTCCTTGACAATTTTTTTTGGTCGGTCGTGGGGCCTGAACTCTGGGCTTGGGTGCTATCCCTGTGCTCTTCAGCTCAAGGCAAGAGCTCTACGGCTTGAGCCACAGCACCACTTCCTTCCTTGACAAATTTTAACCAAAGGACTGAAGACAAATTCTATTGTACTTCTTCAAATAATTCGGTGTACTTTTTATTAAGCTACCTTTCATACTTCTCCATACAAATGACAAATTTAGGGAAGAACAACTCTCAGGAACCTACCTAACAGTAGAAGACTAACTCTAAGGAACCCATGTGAACATGATCCTCTTTAAACTAGAGTATGGTCAAAGTGAAGAGGAACTGATTACTAATTGCCCCTAGATAATCCATAGATTGTCCCAGAAAATATTTGCCAATTTCAAAAATAATTCCAGGGGCTGGGAAGGTGGCTCAGTGGTAGAGCACTTGCTTTGCATGCATGAGGCCCTGGGTTCAATTCCTCAGCACCACATAAGCAAAAAGAAAAAAGCTGGAAGTGGCGCTGTAGCTCAAGTGGTAGAGTGCTCGCCTTGAGCTGAAGAGCTGAGGGACAGCGCCCAGGCCCAGAGTTCAAGCCCCATGACCGACAAAAAAAAACAAAAACTAAAACTATCCAGGGTTGAGAATGTGGCTTGGTGGTAGAGTGCTTGTCTAGCATGCATGAAGCCCTGTGTTGGACTCCTCAGTACCACATAAATAGAAAAAGATGGAAATAGTGCTGTGGCTTACACGATAGAGTGTTATCCTTGAGTAAAAGAGGCTCAGGACAGTGTCCAGGCTCTGAGGACTGGCAAAAAAAAAAAAAACTATCAAAAATGACATGCTGTCATCCTGGCACTCAGGAGGCTGAGGTAGGAAGATTGCAACTTTGAGTCCAGCCTGAGGTACATACATAGTAAGACCTTGACTCTAAAACAGAAATTCAAATCATACAAAAGGTAAAAAGGTAAACAAGGAAGAAATATACTTCTTCATTCTTCAGCTATCCAGTTGTCCTCTTCCAAGGAAATTCCTAAAATGTGTGCCTTATATTTTTTTCCAGACAGATTCTGTGCAGAAAATCTTTTCTAAACCAGGTCTAAGGGGATCATGTGTGTAATCTTACCTACTTGAGAGGATCATGGTTTGAGGCTAGCCTGTGCAGAAAAGTTCCCAATGTTCCATTTGATCAGAAGAAATTAGATGTCTCTCATTCTAGCTAGTGAAAAATAGGATTGTACTCCAAATGCAAGCCTGGGCAAGAAGTAAGACTATGTAAAAAATAAGTGTCAAAATGGGCTGGAGGCATGGCTTAACAGCAGAGTACCTATTTAGAAAGCATGACTCCTTGAGTTTAAATTCTAGTACAGCCAAATTCTTTTAAAGTCATTCCTATTTTATATGTAATATTTCCTTTTTACATTATCATTGCACAATTGTCCTTTTCATTTGGTGTACAGTTCTCTACATTTTAAAATATGTATTGGGTCATGTGACCACCACCACAATCAGGATAGAGAAGAGCTACATCACTCCATAAAAGTCCCTTTTGCTGACTCCACATAGAGCTCCCCTATGACCCAGCAAGCCCACTTTTGGGCATTTACCCAAATGTTCACAAACAAGACCACACTAAAGCTACCAGCACAACTATGTTTATTGCAGCATTATTTACCATAGCTAAGATATGGAACCA